GAAGGTGCTGCCGCGGGCGACACGTCCCCCCGGGAGAGTCAAGGGCGACTTCCTCGCCAACTCCAACAAGGGCGACCGCACCTCCAAGCACAACAGGGTGCTAAGGGCCGCCCAGAATGCCGTCCGGGCGCGCTCGGTTGGCAGCATCATCCTCGGGGACAAGGAAAAGCCCGAGGTGACGCGGCACCTCAACGACACGTCCGTGACTGACATCTGCGAGATCAGCGGCGACTTCGCCACGATGCGGGACGTGCACTACGAGGTCAAGTGCTGGAACATCAAGTCGACGACGTCGGCGAGGGGCTCGTGGGGCAATGGTGGCAATGTGGCGTCGGTGGGCCACACCTCTACGGGTTTGGAAACACGCTGGACAAGGCGTTGACGGGAGTCGTGGGGTGCAAGGAGCGTGGCCGTCAGGTGGACGGACCGCTCGACCACTCGACTGGAAAGGGATGGGTCAAGGACCACGCGTACATGTATGGAAAGGGGTGGGTCAAGACGGATACGGGCTGGAAGTGGATGGGGGCGCAGTACTACGACGCGAAGTGGGTCAAGAAGGCCATAACGCGGCTGGTGCTCGTGGAAACTTTGGGAGGCATTGCGCCGCCCACCAAGCAGTTCCTCCACGTGTTCGCCAAGGAAGCGGCGGGCACCAACACGGACCGGACGGTGTACGGGGAACCTGTGTCACCCGAAATCCAGAGTGTCACTCCAGATCCATAAAATGTCGCATTTGCAGCGCATTTTGTTGCAAACAAGTGTGCAAATGATTGTTTTGACCAGTACTCACCTGCCCCTGCGGAGCATGCGCATGCTAGCCTCTCGTACATGCACTCTCTCTTCCGTCCGCACCCGCACGGTACCCATTCCGGAGCCCACCATGCCGCTCGCACCTGGCTCGCACCCACCCACTATGCGTGTCATGCCAGCAGTGCTATGAGCTAATCACTTGGGGACGCCCATGAAGCCCAAGAACCTGGCCTGACTCTCCCGCTCACTCTGCTCGCGTGCGCGCGAAGCGTTGAACTCGGCCAGCATCATGCCCTGCGCAAAGGTTGGGGAGAACATGCTCCCGCCCGGCTGTGCAAACACGGAGGGGGCCGCCTCTGCATCGCGAGTGCGATAGAGCGGCGCCGCTGGTGCCGGCTTGGCCCTCTTGCGGCGCTGCCCCTGCGGCGCATCCCCCGGCGGTGGCGGCCCGGGTGGTGGTGGCGGCGGCGGAGGCGGCGGCGGAGGCGGCGGCGGAGGCGGCGGCGGTGGCGGCGGCCGCGTCCACGTCGTCTGCTTGTCGACCGAGTTGTAATAGTAGGGGCGCCCATTGCCGTCCACGTACTCGGTCCAGTCCTTGCCGATTTCGGCCTGGCTCTCCTCCTCCTCCTCCTCCCCCGCCTCGTCGGCGGCGTCCGCCTTCTCACGCGCCACCTCCTCTGCTTGCACGCGCTCGGCGAGCGACGCCTTAGCCTCGCCGCGTATGGTCCGGAGGCCAAGAGCCGAGGCGGCGGCAAGGAGATCAGCGACGGTGCGCTCTCCTCCTCGCTTGCCGCCGCCTCGCCCTCGCCGCCGCCGCCGTCCGCCTCGCCGTCGTCACCGCCTCCCTCGGTGGCAACGGCTTCCCGCTCTCCGCCACTGTCCTCATCCTCGTCAATGGACTCGACCTCGATGTCGAGCGCGCCGCCCGGGGTTGCCTCCTCCACCCGAGCATGCAGCTCATCCTCCGTCACCTCCACAGCTGACCAGTCGTCCATCGTGCAGGTACAGTCGTCGCGGGCAGGTAAGCGACGGGCAGGTGCACACGGAAGCCGCAAAAATGCACACGGAAGCCGCAAAAATGCACACCGAAGCCGCACTTCGCAAATTTGCAAAAAAAAAAACATAAGAGTGACACTATGGATTTCGGGTGACACAGGTTGGGGCGGCGTCGGCGAGCGCCTCCTCCTTCGTCGTCCACCACACGCAGCAGATCTCCAAGGCGGCGGTGGCGGGCGACGCCGAAAACATCAACAAGCAGGCGCGCAAGGAGCGTACCGACTGGATCAACAAGCAAAAGAACAAGCAAGCGACAAACGGCTTCTTGTCCTCGGCCCCAGTGGGGGGTGCCCGCGCCGCCTAGCTCTGCAGACGGGCCCCTCCTCCCTTTTGGGCTCAACGAGGTTTTCCGGAAAACAAAAAGGAAAACAGAGGTCCCCAGCACTTTGCGTTTCCGGAAATTTCCAGGGAAAACAGAGGGTGTTTGGTGCTCCATTCTGGAAACTCGGGAGTTTCCCTTAGTCTGAGAGCTGGTCTGGGGCAAAATCTGAGGCAAAATGGAGGAAATCGACAAAATACCCAGGCGGTCGCAGGGTAATTTCCAGGTCTACACGGGTTCTCCGCGAAATTCCCGGCATTTTGCCGATTTGGCCTAAAATTTGGCTGATTTTGGGCCCGAACCAGCCTCAGACTCGGCTCAGAGCCAAAAATTTGACGATTTCCACGCAGTTTTCCCGGGAAAATAGAGAGGAAAAGAGAGGGTGTTGTAGAGAAAAAAGGAAAGGAAAACAGACGGGGTGCGAGAGGCAAACCTCGTTGAGCCCAACCTCCCTTCATGTAATCATGTAGTCCCCACATCCGCAATCGTGGGATCGCTTGTCATGTGAGAGAGTGCGTTGTGTTCTTGTTTTGTATCCGTTTTCTCTCTGTTCATAGTAGCGTGCACGCTACTATGGTTTACCCACATTATGCGAGTATCTGTGAGCCCCCTCCCCTCTTGCACAACAGGAATTTTGACAATTAACCAGATGGCTTGCCCATCCCGGAGTGGTTCGACCCCACATATCACACATATGACATAAATCCGAGACGGTGACGGGAAGCGTCGAGTGATCTCAGGCCCAGTGAGGCAGTGCACAGGCTAACCCGGATCCTGCTGAACAAGCTCCTCTTGTAGCTCGATCGGTCACACCGCCGTCACCGTCGGGGAGAGGGGGGACGACACTGCTTTGGCAGCGTGCACCTCGATCCTGTACCGTGTTTGTTATGACCCCCGCCCAATGAGCACACCAGCGAGGGAGGGCGAGACGATCGAGGGGTCCCGTACCATGCGGAATCGACCCTATCCGGTGCTCAAGTGCTCAAGTATCTGTGTGGGGGGTCCCGGTACCATGCGGAATCGACCCTGGAAGCCAAGTGAAGTGCTCACGAAATGTTACTAGTATCGCTCCCGGCGTCGCTCTTTGCCCTCGCGCCAGTGTTCTTCGACACCGCAGGGCGCCTGCAGCGGGTCCCGGCGCCAGCAAACCCGGGTACGACGCGCTTCTACACTCTGGTGCACAACGGACAGTCGCTGGTCAAGGCAGACGGTGGCGGCTGGAAGCCTGCGCTTCTCTCTGCGAGCGAGGTGTCCGAGGTTGGCGGTGGCGGCGCCCTCCAAGTCTTTCTCGGCAGCGTCGAGGACGCAGCGAGCCCGCTGCAGCGTGGGGATTACTGGCTGCTCGAGACGTCCGCTCTCGACGAGCAGCCGCCTGCGAGCATCGGTGGCGATGGAGCCGCTTGGGAGCCGCTGCGTGCGCGAGCTGGGCCGAGCGTGTGCGACGCGCTCGAGGTGGACGAGGCGGCGCTGCTCGCCACCGCGCGCGGGCTGGCGCACTGGCACAACAGCGTTCGATTCTGCTCCAAGTGCGGCAGCGCAGAGGTCGTGCCGTACCGGAACGGGAAGGGGCGGAGATGCAATGTGTGCTCCGAGCGCTTTCGCCCTCGGCTCGACGCGTCGGTGATCGTCCTCGTCCTGGACGCGACTCGCTCACGGTGCCTGCTCGGCCGCAAGGCGGCTTGGCCGACGGGTCGCTACTCGACACTCGCGGGCTTTGTCGAGTTCGGGGAGACGCTCGAGGAGTGTGTGGTGCGGGAGGTGTGCGAGGAGAGCGGCTGCTCCGTCGACAGGTCGACGCTCGACTTCGTCGCATCGCAGCCGTGGCTCTTCCCGCGCTCGCTCATGGTCGGCTTCACCGTCTGCGCAGCGCCCAGCGAGGGGGCCGACGCGGCGCTCGCGGTCGACGAGGACGAGCTGGAGGACGCGAGATGGTTCTCCAAGGAGTACGTGCGCGAGCAGCTCGGGCTCGAGCGCGAGGCCGGACGCGACGGGCCCGCAGTCGAGGGCGGTTTTCACGTGCCGTCGCGAGTCTCACTCGCGCGCACACTGATCGAATCTTGGCTCGCCGAGTGAACAGCAGCTGGACCTCGGGTTGCTGTGGAGGGCCGCCGTTCGCCGGTTCGGCGGTGTCTTAATTCCGCGGTCTCCGTGAGCCGGCGTTATTTAACCCGTGTATGACACCGCTGGCGGCTGGGGGGCGGCCCGGGCGCAACACACACCCCGCGCCCCCCCCGCCAAAACGGGAAAACAGCCCACGCACAGGCGCCCGCAGTAACGCACAAAACGCTCTCCGCAATACACACATCTCACACACATTGATCGAGTTTCAAACGCGTGTTCAACGGTCTGTGTCACGTGTCGTCAGGCCTCGTCCCTGCGCACCCTTCGGTCTCGCTCTCGGCCGCGGCTGCCGCCCGCAAGCCTGCCGACGAGCCCGTCGCCCCGCGCACACACGAGCACAGCCGCCATGACGAGCGCCGTGCCCGCCGCCTCGGAGAGGCCCCAGCGGCTGCCCACCGGGTCGACGGCGAGGGAGAGCAGCGCGGTGAGGGGCGGCTGCACCGCATTGTACAGCACGAGCGCGCTCGCGTCCGTGTGCCGGTTCGCCCACGCGCGGAGCGAGTAGCCGACCACCGAGGAGAGCAGGACCGCGTACGCGACGGCGAGGAGAGCGGCGGGCCTCCAGAGCGGCGCCAGCCCCGCGGCCGAGAGGGGCGGCGGCTCCTCGAGGCGCGCGAGCGAGTCGACTGCAGCGGCGAGCAGCATCACGCAGAGCGAGCCGACGTACGCGTGCGCCGTCACCGTCACCGCGCCGTAAAGAGGGGGGTGGCCCTCCTCCTCCGGGCAGCGCCTCTCCTCCGGGCAGCGCCTCCGCCTCTCCTCGCGCGGCGACGGCTCGCCCTCGCCGTCGGCGCCGCCCGCCGCGCGCCGCGAGCGGAGCCGCACCAGCTGCCGCTGGACGAGGCAGTACGCGCTGATGCCGACTCCCTGCAGGAAGAGGAGCGACATGCCCGCCAGCCGCGAGCCGGAGGGGCGAGCCGGCGAGGGGTCGGGCTGGCTGCGCGGCCCTGCCTGCAGCAAGAGCACCCCGCCGCCGGCGAGGAGCGCCGACAGCACCTTTGCAGCAGAGAGCGGCTCGATGCCCAGCAGCGCGGCCAGCACGGCGGCGGTCGAGGGCTCGATGCACTGGAACAGCGCCGCCGTCGTCGCGTCGGTGAGAGCGATCCCGACGGCGAAGCAGAGCTGGAAGGCCGCGAGCAGCGCGCCCAGCAGCGCGAAGCGGGCGCGGTGCGCTCGCAGCGGCAGCGAGGGAGGCCCCTCCAGGGCGGCGGCCCAGCCGTAGAGGAGAGCAATCGAGGCCAGCTCTCGCAGCACCGAGAAGCCGATCGGGCTGACACCCTCGCGCAGGCAGCGGGCAGCGAGGATGTTGTGGCCCGAGTAGATTAACGCGGCCACCAAAAGCGCTCCGTGCGCCTTGGCGGTGCTAGAGGAGGCCGCCCGAGAGGAGGATGCCTCGGCTCCGGCGTCGGCACTGTCAGAGGCGGCCAGCAGCGGGGAGGGAGGAGACGACAGCCCGCTCGGCATTTTTTTGCACACGGGGTCGTCAATCCGTGTATTCTTTTTTGCTTGGCCCGATTCCGCTATGGATATGCCCAACCCACAAAATGAATACGCATCGCCTTATGCTCTGGTTTCGGGTGCGTAACCTGGTTCGTAGACAGGCGCAGTTATCAAAATACAGCAGATATGAAGGCCGGCCCTCACCCCGGACCTGCTCACAGCGCATATTTTCCTTCGAAAACAGCACAGAATACTTCAATGTTGGCCCTGCCCCGCACTTACGCAGCATAATTTTACCCATTCAGGCCCATCGACGACGGGGTCACGCATGACGTATCATGTATCCGCATACGTACCCCCTCCTGGCGCCACAGCCTGGAGGCGCTGACGTACTACGTATACGCATTATGTTTCTGCACTCGCCAAAACGCCCGCGAGACGATTGCCTGGCCAATGATTTCAGGCTCCCGCGCTGCCTTGCTCAATCCAAATCGAATCCCAATTGTCAAACTCGCGAAATTTTACGTGCGTCCGCTGCATGATGGCCCCGCCTCGGACCGCGTCGTCAGAGGGCGTTATGCTGATCCCAGCCATCGCCAAGAACAGCACGACTCGCTACAAGAACGTGGCCTACGACCGCAGCAAAATGAAGTTCCAGGCGAAGGTGAAGGCTGGCGGCCAGCATGTCCGCCTCGGCTACTTCGACACCGCCGAAGAGGCGGCCACCGCCTACGCTCAGTCAGAGTACGGCCGCGCCGACGCCGCCAAGCTGCTGCAGCCCCGCCCCGCTCCCACTCCCGCTGGCGCCGAGGCGATACGGCAGGCGGAGAGGGAGGGCCTCACCCTCACCGCCAGTAGCAGCAGCAACACCGGCTACAAAGGCGTCTGCTACCGCCCGAAGCAGAAAGGCAGCCAGAAGTACCAGCTGAATGTGAGGGTTGGAGGCAAGATGGTCAATCTCGGCTACTTCGCCACCGCCGAGGAGGCTGCGCTCTTCTACGCCCGCAGGGAGGCGGGCATGGACACGCTCGCCCGCGATCTCTCTGCGCCGCCGCTGCCGCCGTCCTCAACCTCTGCGGAGCTGCCAGTGTACGAGCTCAGCATTCTGACGCCTGAGCAAATGGCCGCCAACCCGACATATAGTCCATCGTCCAATTTGGACTATAGTCGAGCGCGTCGGAGAGGTGTTTGGAGACAGGCTCATGATTATGCAGCAGCCCTAGCGGCAGCGCCAACTTATGGCAGCCCTAGCGGCAGCGCCAGTGCGCGCACATAAAGGGGGGGGGGGGGTTAGGGGGTGGCTGTCGAGGGCTATGCCCGAGTCTGTGTA